AACTAGAAGTAAAAGAAAAGAAAAAAAAAAGGAAAAAAAAAAAAGAAAAAAAAAAAAAGAAATCTATCTACCTATCTACTTAATACATCTAACTACTACCGTAACCTAGAGCACCGTACGTGTAAGGTCGCATTAATTATACGTATAATTTAAATTGTAATTATTAAAAAAAAAAAAAAAAAATGATGATGATATGAAACGTACAGGAAAAGAGAAAAAGGAAAAAAAAAAAAAAAAAAAAAAGAAAAAGAAGACCTCGTTCGTTTACCTTACTTGTCTTTCTTTGAAACCGCATTTTCGAAGAATTCCCTTTTCCCTTTTCGAGAGAGGGGAGGACGAGAGGGGGATAATTATCACGAGCGAAATTTTTGCTGAAATTCCACACCGCGATTCGATAACGTTCGTCGAGTCGAAAGATCGAGCGATGCCCGGACTCGGACGAGGTTATCGCCTTCCTCTCGAATCCGCTCGTGCCGATTTTTTTCTTCCATCCGCGACGTAACATCAACAACAACGACAAAGTTTTTGAACGAGTGAAAAAAATTGTCACGGTGCAGGCTTTCCCCCCGAAAATTCTCGGACCGAGATATTCTCCTCCTTTGGGATATAATATAATTCCAATTCGAAGTTAATCCGTTTATAAAACGTGTAATCTAAATTTCATCGAAAGAAGCTGCAAAACTCTTTTTTTCAATTTTCTCGATCCTTCCAAAAACATCTAATTCAATACGTTCCAATACGTTTTCTCCCGTCATTTTCCTCCTCCGTAAATTCTTCCATCCTCCGTTTTGCTGCGTTATGCACCTCGCGTTACGGACCTCGCCTCGAGGCTTCGAGATACGATCGCGTGACAAGAGCGGGAGGTCGCGGGTTGATAAAGCGGCCCTCACACCCCTCGAGAACTACCGAAACGGACAGGAGACAAGAGGACTGGACGCAAGTCACGATCCCTGATGCAACGATCTCCGCTCCTTTTCACGATTTCACCGCGCTACCGAGGATGACGAGGCGAGATCGGGAGGCGACGTCGAAATTCCCCCTCCCCCGTTCACATCCGAGGAATAATCGAACGTGACCCTTTCGAAACAATTTCAAAAATTATTCGCAACGCGAATAATTCGAATTCGTTTCGCAATTAGGAGATCCGGAGGAGGTGTAACGAATTCGCTCTCGAAAATCTTGAATCGTTTCTTCTTCACGACGACGGGAGAGAGGCAAGCCTAAAACGCGTTTGGAAAAGTTGTTTGTTGGAGTTTTTCCGCGGCGAGCCAGAAAGGAGGCCTCCTCCTTTCCCCTCCTTCCTCTCCCCCGGTCGGTCGATCGGTTTGAGCGACAGGCGACGCGGGGACCCGAGATGAGGGGGGGGAGAGAGAGAGGGAGCCCTGTCCAACAACGTCCGCTCGCTGCGACGCGCGTCCGCAAACGGAGCGGAGCAAGACTTCACCACTTTTATATACGAAGTCTGAATAACAAATCTGTCCAATTCACATGTCGACATCAAAGAAGATAATATAAACACTACATCGATACATCGTCCTCCGCAAAAACCTTTAATGTTTTATTAATGCAAGGGGCCTCCTTCGTCCCATTCCGCCGAGTCCGTTCCACTCTCTCTCTCTCTCCTTCTCTTCCTCTCTTTTCTCCGAGCGAAACGATTGTTCGAGAGAGTATTGGCGCGCTACGGGGGAACACCCGATCGAGAATCGAGAATCTTTCTCTCTTTTTCTTCTTCTTCTTCTTCTTCTTCTTCTTTCGAAGAAGGGGTTTGTCGGCGAGGTGAGACCAAGCCTTGGAGGAGAGAGGCGTCCGTTCCTGGACCCGAAGAGTTTGAGGATTTTCCGAGTGTTGATTTTGAAGAAACAGGAAAAATTTGCCAGGCACGTTTCCGTCGATTGCCATATTTGCAGTTGTTCGAGATCGGGCTCAATTTGTATGTAAATGGGCCGCCCGACCGAGTTACCCGGTTCAGAAACGTCCGGGAGACGTAGTGCACGCGCGTGCAAGCAAACTTGGTCGAATTGGGAAAAAAGCGAAGAGTCGTGTTTTCGTGTTTTCGATTGACTCATCCCGTCCTACATTTTATTATTACACGTGTATTTATATCAATTAGTGAACTCTTGTTGCAAAAGGTTGGTAATCTTTTTTTCCTTTTTTTTTTTTTAAATTATAAATACGTTTAAATTCATCCGATTGAAAAAAAAAAATGCTCGGCCAAGTCGCGGAGGATTCGAAGAGAGATAAGCAAAAATCCGTCCTCCATTCCTCCACCGAACGTTACGCACGAAATGCATAAGCGCAGCCCCGTGTAATTGTATGCAGGAATGCAGGCAAGGTAGCGAAGACAGGGTGTACGCTCCTCTCCCCGAGTAGAGGAAGGTTTGAAATCGGGGGAGGAGGCCGGGCAGCTCGAAAGACGGGGAGATGGATAGAGAGGAAACCCCTCCTGATCCGCGGCTTCAGATGTGACTGAAGGCCGGCGGGGAGGGGAGGGGGGGGGGAGGAGGCCTCCCTGAGTGACAGCCTCGCCACTCGTACGTGGGAGGCGAGCTCGCAACAAAGGAGAGACGATAGCCTTATGCAAAATAGCTCATGCGATATCGCGAGCACTCCCTCGAGAGAGAGAGAGAGAGAGAGAGAGAACGAACCCTCCACTCCATTCGTTTTTATCATTACGAGAACTTGGAATGTAAGTAA